TCGCTATCAAACTTATAATTTGGTCCACAGAATTCCCAGAAACCGGGGAAAAATGGATACAGATTGGCGAAGAGAAGGAGGTCAAACGCTATCGGTGAGTATAGCATGCAACGAGGCGAGCGGAATTTTGCCACGAAGGCATCATAACAGTATCGGTGGCCATGGTTTATAGCAGTGCAGTCCCGTGGGATGGACGCGATACGTATGGCGTAGCAAAACTGGTATGTTAAGGTCTTTAGATGTGTTCTGAGACTGGGCTCAAAATTGCAATATTTACTGGCAGGTCATGATAGAAAGCACGTAGCAACAACTGTCTATTATATACGTTGAATGGAATTTCGTCTCGAACGGGCTTCAGTAGTGAGAAGAAAAATGTGATAATACAAGATAGTAAATGAATGGCTACTCACAGAACGCCTGCCACAAGCCTCTTTCAGCATTTTGCACACATCCATTCCCTCGCAACCGGTCACGGCGAAACCCTTGGTCCAACGAATAAGTTTGGCACTGGAATGAGATTCGGCTAAAACAGCAATACCAGCTGGGTCACCGTGCAGACAGACTCAGAAGTATGTGCCTTTTATGAGTAGCTTTGCTTACAGAGGGAACACCCAGGATAATTTCGCCACGCAGGAGGCGGGCACTGCATCGCCAAGACCGCACGGCTTGCTTCTTTCAATGCTAACAAACCTTGTGAGTCCTTCTTGTTGACAAGGAAAGGAGAACGTGAAACCGAGAGGCAGCTTTCGTGAGAACGGTATGCCTTGCTCTTCCATGAAGCGCGCCATGCACTCGGCGATGTGGTCAAAAAGCTGCAAATTGGTAACTTATAGGATGTCCATTTAAAAATGAAGGAACCTTTTTTAGCACGGAAGAACTCCATGTCAAAATGCATTAGTGGCAATGAGTGCTACCATAGTGTGTGTTATAGATGGACTTCGAGAAGAACGTACCTGGCTCAGAAAAGGAACCGAACCGGTCTCGGACGGTTACTGGAAAAGCACGGAAGAGTGAAGTGAAGGATATTAAAAGTGGAAAACTTCCAATATCTCGAGACCCATCTAGCCGCCGATCTGTAGTGTGCAGCAAAGGCACGAATCAACGAACAAAATGGAATGAGTGTGGATGAATTCACTGATAGTCGCCTCTGCAGATCGAGGTAGTTTTCCGAGGCCTCAAAGGGCACGAGGTTTACGGGGCAGTGGACGCTTCGGCAGCATGCTGCTGTACGCCACGGGTTGCTGGCACATTAGCAGAGGACTATAGTCACTGCGCTGGAATTAGCATTGCTAAGATGGGCAAGCGTCTTGATAATAAGATGAACAGGCGATTAGACAGAAGCCAGATGAGGACAGTAAGACGGTCTCGCAGACATGTTCCTGATACAGCAGCGACGACTGCGATAGTATGTACACGTGTTAATGAGCCCACAGAATCACCCCATAAGTCCCGAAGAAGAGGTGGAAAGACTTGGTCAATAAAGACACCACCAGCCAAGGTAGAGGATGCCTCGAATAGGAGAAAGTGGCGATACCTGATGAAGAAGCGAACCTTGTGACGAGGCGGGATTATCGCTAAGTAGAAAAACAAAAAGAAGAATCCTCCAACTGTGTCGTAGAAGGCACCCGTTGAGCACGCTCTTAGCCATTCCACAAGGTGATGTCTCCGCGCGTGAGGGTCAAGGGAGTGGTAAAGGGAACCAATCGCCAACAAGGGAAGGAAACACAAGTGTTGAAATATCAGTCTAACTTGATCACTAACACCCTCCCAATACCTAGTACACCCAATATGTATACATGTACGCAGCCACTGACAGGGTATACTCGCAAGGGAAACCGAAAGGAGGGCAGCGTATGCAGGAGGAGTGGATCCAGGCGGCCACCGTGGTTTGTAGCGAAAGCGCACACCGTGAGCCGCACGCGACAAACACTGGCGGCAGCTATGGGAAAGTGAACCACTCAAACGTTTTGGTAATGGGACAACATCTTCAACTGAAACTGACGAACGGCGCAGCATTGCTACCTCATCTTCCCCTCTCCAACATCACTATACGGTGACCCTAATCGGCAATCAACTCAACCCTAAGCCTTCCCCAACACTCGATTCGTGCTTTTATTAGGGTTAATGTGGACGAAATTGTGCCTCAGTCACAGTATTCCTAAACTGTACGAGTCCGCTCGTTGTTCCAGTGCCAAAAACTATACGACCCCCTCCTTTGAGGTGGGGTCTCGGAACGACCCCTCACCACAACCACCAGCCTCAGGCGAGTCGCAATACGACCCTGCTTTCATAACCCCCGACCACTGCTCTCACCGTCATGGCCACCATTGCTGTTTCTATAGCATTGAAGTATTTGATTCCAGTTGACGAGCCGACACATCCCAACTCCGCCCACTTTTCCTACCGAAACAACTGTTTGAGCGGGAGGAGATGGTAAATTCGTCTAATGAAACAACAAATCATCTAATTTTGATAAATATGACCATACGTCCCTAATTCCACCAAAACTATCAGAAACCCGCCGAAAAAAGACATTCTGATACCACCACAATCCATTCAACATCTGAGAATGCGCCCTTCCCCACCCTTTTCCAACCTTTTCACCCTCACCAACCCCTGATAGGCTCTCTCTAAAAAAACTCAAATACGATCCCCTTCGTTGAGTACTGCGCAACGCACAGTTAAACCTGCTCCCACCAACTGTCTTGGATGTTTGTCGCGTACCTGCATTTGCTACGGGCTTGCCACGACAAAGAAATACCATGATAACAAACTCATGAAGAATCAAGTATGGCCGAAGTTCGTCAAAAGAAATGTTGAGTACGCTTTTTTTCTGTTAATTAGCAAGCATAGCCACAGCTGGGCTCCTTCGCTTGCTAGGTGGACCTATTTCTGAGTCTTCCATAATATTTTGATCTGATGTAGGATAACAGCAGCCTGCTACCGACCTCTTCTGCAGTAGCCTGCATAATACGGTCTGGAACACTGTAAACTTTTCCAGTCATTTCGGCCTCTCTTCCGTTAAGCCGTATGAGAAGGATGCGAAAATTAGTTCCACCGAGATCCAAAACTAGGTAATCTCCACTTTCTTCACCATTCGGTATTGCTCGAACATACGTTGGTAGCATCTTCAAGGCACCCTGTTCACCTGAAACAGAGCAGAGGCTCGTTTTAGCAGAGGTTGAAGTTCGGGCTCAGACCCACTTAGACGAAGCTTTTACTGTGCCTAGAAGCGCTTGTAACGGGGGCAACGTGGGCAGAGGTCGGCTCCACTTATTACTCAAAGAGCGCTACTCAGACGCTAGACGCTAAGAACTTTGACACGCTCCACCTGCTGCGACACGCTCCGCCCACCGCTCGATATCTTGTCTGCGTCGCTAACTTGATCTGCTATGCTCTCTCTACTCGTACTTCTCTAGCGCTCTCCGCGCTCACATTATCTCTCATCTCCCTGCCGGCCTTTTGAACTTCTCCGCAGCGTAGAGCAAAAGGCTCGTATTTCCTGTGTATTTCACGATTTTTTCCCTTTTTTCTCCTGGCGGTCCACCTCCTACTTAAATCACATTTGGTAGAATTACCTCGTCAATTTAATCTGAAACCCTCCCCCCCTGTGCTTAACTAATGCGATGCCCTTGCTGGCGACTTTTTCTGAAACGTCATAATGGTTTACAGCGGCCCCACCTGCCATCTGTGAGTTCGCCTCTAAACTTACGTAACGGATGGTGTATGCGCGAAGACGATGTTTATGAGAAACGGATTGGTTCCTGATGCCCCATTCACGCTCAACGGAACGAACATCACCGAATGCTCCAGCTACGTGTACCTAGGTCGGGAAATCAATATGATGAACGATCTAGCTCCAGAGCTGAGCAGGAGGAAACGAGCGGCTTGGGGAGCGTACAAGAACATCGAGGGAGTAGTGAAGAAGACGAAGAACATCCGGCTCCGTGCCCACCTCTTCGATTCCGCTGTCCTTCCTGCCCTAACCTACGCCTCAGAGACTTGGACTCTGCGCAGGCAGGACGAGCATGCGGTCAGCGTTATCCAACGCGCTGTCGAGAGGACGATGCTAGGAGTAACCCTATACACGCAAGTGCGAGTGGGAACTACGCCAACGATCGAAGATCAGGGACGCTGCCGTTTTCGCCAAGGAATCGAAGATAAGGTGGGCCGGACACGTCATGCGATTTTGCGATGACCGTTGGACCAGAGCGGTTACCGACTGGATCCCTCGGGACGTCAAACGAACACCTGGACGACCGCCGGCCCGATGGTCAGACTTCTTCACGAAAGCTCTGAACGAAAGGAATGAATGGACTTCGTGTCCCTCGAGCAAGGAGGATCCACTGGACCACTCTAGCACGCGACAGGGACGAATGGAGACGTTGCTGGCGCCCGCTCGAGCAAATCGACGATCAACGGGACGACAGGTGATACAGGTGATAGGTGGCTCGCGTCCTGCTTTTCACGCTGCTGCACCTCCGCGTCCCTCTCACGTTAAGCCGCTAAATTTGTGGACCTTGTTTGAAAGGAGTTATCTATTTGAAGCATTTTCAATTGAGTTCTATAGCCTCCTTTTTCCGCTGGCTGGTTATTTGGTTCCTCGTTTTTCATATGTGATCTCATATATTGTAGCATTGTTTGGCTTGATAGAGTGCATGGCTATGTTAAGACCATAAATTTTATCTACGATGCCGAATTAATGTCAATGATCAAACGGCTGTAAAATTCGAACAGGCTTTAGGATAATCCTCTTTCTGCTGGATCGACCATTGACCGAAGTAATAATCCCACAACAAAAAAATGTCTATGAAGACGTGAATCCTGACCTGAATCACTTTGCAGACCCTTCTCAATACTTGCCTCCAGCAGAGTCATCACTTGCTCGAGTATTTCATTGCTCAAAACCAAGCAGCTGCAGATGCTTTCAATCTGAAGAGACCTGTCATAAATCTCGGCGGAATAATGGCTAACAGCTGTCACAACATGTGGCAGTGGGCCAAGAGGCATTTGTGACTACTCGACCGCTATTAGTTACAGTGTTGAGCGGCCCGAAAACCGAGGCATAACATAGTTACTAAGCAATGCACTACCGGTAAATCACAGCTCTAATCACCCATCAAGCCGCACTGTTCATGTTTCCGAGTGATGATCCTACCTGACAGCGTATTGCTCCTTCAAATTTCTTTCCCCCTAAACTAATCCAATGAAGTTTATTCAAACCGCGCGATCTCTTAAAACCCTCGATAAAATTCGTATAATATGAGCATAAATTCAGTTAATATGGATCAAAAGGTGGTGGTGTCCGTTCCTCCAAGTGGTGCCACTGGAAACTGCTCACTTTTGTGAGCTGAGCCGACCACGGACATTCGAATGCAGGCGACAGGCCCCCGTGACAGGCCGACCTATATTGGGTTGTCCTATAATTCCTGACTGCTATGTGTTCCACTTTAAACTTCTTCATACCAAATTAGCTTCATGATGAAATTATTTATGTTCAAGTATTTACATCCTAGTGGCCAGTAGTAGTCAGGACCTTCAGACAACATGTTTCGGAAGCTCAAATGCGCAACGGGATAATTAGGTAGGAATCAAATAGATCAACGACCAAACCCAACAATTATGCCTTACGACAATTTTAAGAAGAACCTTGCAAGGAGCGCGGTAGGCAAGATCAGCGCTACGTTTGCCCCAGTCTTTGCTACTGATCGGGCACTGAGCTATTGGCTCAATAGCATCGGCAAAGCGATAGGAGCTGCAAAGTTCGACCTCATCATGGACCTCCAGTCACTTTCGATGAGGACCCCTTGCGCTACGAATAGGAAGTGCATCCGGACGCTATTAGCAGGAAACTGTAGCAAACATCTGGACGCAGCCTACGCTCCATGACACCTGAATGGAAGGAGCTGCAGCAGAATGAAGTGTCGATGGAAACAGCATGCATCGACTGACCGTGACCGAAAAGCACGCCCGATCGGTCTTTCGACGTGTTTTCAAGCCCGTAGCTCGGAGCTCGAAGCTCGAACCTTTAATCATCTGACATTGATGCTGAACAACAAACCTTTTTTCTATTTCTGGCCTCTACAGAGTCACCGCTGAACATCGAAGAAAGGGAACCGAACATGTCAGAGAAGATTCTGGAACTTTCATTGGCATGTGACTGAATGTAGCAGCTTATTATTATTTTATTAAGGTTGTCGCAAACTCACCCTTCATCCTTATTCGCCTGCCTTCTTCTTCTCCTGTTTTCATCCATACAACCAGCACCTTTTTTCGGACGCAACTACGCTAAAAATGATTCGGTAACTACTAATACTAGAGATCCTATCAATCTTACAGAGATACTATCCATGATATGAAGCCATTGAAATAAACAAATGATTGACGAGAGTACTAAGCGCTTGCCCCGAATTTTACTAGCAAGGTCTTACTTCAACTGGCGCGGATCTCTTGGATATTTTTATCAGTTTATAAGTGCAGCCGTGTCATGGCCTAACG